AAGAACTAAGTGACATTCTGGTGCATTATATGTACCAGCAAGTAATTTCGGAAACATTCCTTTTTAAAGCACCTTTCTTTTCTGCTTCCCACCTTTAGGCACATGATTTGTCACAAATGGCTTGACTTGAATTCTCTAAAAAGAACCCGAACATCACATTTGCTTGTTTAACTCCAACTGAATTTTCTTTAAACCTTCTTTATTAGGTTTCAAACAGTACTGTACTTTTGTCCAAGTAGAATCAGCTGAAATATCTCTCATGATGCTTTTCCATTGCAGAAAGTGGATTCAGTGATAATATGGCTCATGGTAGGCTACAGTATCATCTCAGACTAATAAGGGTTAGGCAAAGAATCACTGCAAAGCAATCAGTGCTCACCTTAAAGATACTTTAAATCTTTACCTACATGAGGGCAATACTCCCTGAACCATAACGCAGTTTTGAGTCCCTTCTATGACTGTACTGTCCAGCAGGTCAGGAAGTATGTGTAGGCTTGTCTACTTGACTTGTGAACCCTGCAGACACATTCACAACTGCTACAACCATAAAAACTGAAATATTTTTAAAAATACGTATTGCTACAAAATGTATGCTACAGTGCAGAACGCTTCCACAGCATATCTCAAGTTAATTAGTATGGAAAGAGAAAACAAGACTAATTTACTGCAGAACATTTTAATCAAGCTCTGGCTTTACAGCTTTTTCCTGCCTTTAATCCTACAGCACTTTTAGTTGGTGGTGACATTCTCCTGAACTCAGGGTTGAGACCATCAGGGGAAGTATTGGTGTTAGGTGATATTTCCTTCCCAAGGCACAGAAGTGCCATGCATGTGCTGAGCTACCACAAAAAGTCAATCCAATCCAATCCAATCAAAACCCCTCACTATCTTACATGAAACAGGCAAGTGTGGTAGCTCTTGTACAGTCTAACAGCAGTATTCTGGCCTGGATATCCTGTAAATAAAAGATTTGTCAACTTTTACGTGCAATCATAGGACAGGGGCTTTAGATCTGAAAGGCTGCTAAGTTAAAAAAAAAAGTCCTTAAAAATATGCTTTGTTCCATAAGATGCTTTTTCTTCCTAAATGAAACCCCAGTGTAATTTCCTGTATAATTACCCTTGATGCAATCCTGCCATTGGAGTTTCCCTCAAGGGAAATTTGGGTAGACAATGGTAAACATAGGCTGGCTGCAGCGGTGGCAGTGCCCCAAGGGACAGTGCAGCAACTCCAAGAGGCTTTTGGGTAGCGAGATTGGAGTCAGAAAGTTCAAATCTAGAGAAGAGAAGAAAAGAAACAAAAAAGGCTTGTAACAAAACAATTGCATGATGAAGTCAAACACAACAAGCATGATCCATGAACAATTCAGAAAATCAGTTGTCTCGCATTCTTAAGACTTTGTCAAAAGAACAGCAAGGTAACACAAATTGCCACAATTAGGGTGAAGCACATGGTGTTTTCCACGTATAAGCTCAAAAAGTTAAAGTTAAGCGTCTAAGTTTAGCATACATGGGCATAAGATTAACTAGGCCCAAATACCCAGGTGCTAATATTATAGCTCAAGCAAATAATAAAACCCAGTAATATATCATAAGGCATTTTTAGATACAAAGATGATCTAGACAGGTGTTTAGTAGTTAATAACAATACAAAATTCTGGAAAGGACGTCACTAGTATTTTACTAAAATATTTCAGCAACCAATCCAGCAGGATAGATAAGCTCACTAAAAGGCCCAAACTCCACCACCAGCAAAAAGGGATCTGAAATACTTAGAATTACTTGAAATACAATCCAGCCCAGCATAATTCTCACAGGTCCAACCAAAGAGACCACTCTAAAAAGATCAATACATTTGTAATCTCTTAAGTGTGCTCCTACAGTTTACAAGTTGCCATCATTTTCACCAAAAGGGACTCCAGGGGCATTTCATAGGAAAGAGCTATCATTTTCCCAGGCTTGGCCCAAGCCACATAGTGTTTTGTAAATTAAAACCAAAATGCTAATCTCCATCTAGAAACTGAGAGACAGCCAAGACAGGTGAGTGAGTTTAGGTGCTGAGTAATCAAGACAAGATGCAGTACCTGATAAATCAGTTTTGCGATATCACACTAGTTTCAGCTTTCAAACACCCTAAGGTTTAACCCCCCACACAATGTACCACAACAGCCTCAATCGAGATGACAAGCATGACAAACAGTACGTTTGCGTCAGAAAGAAAAGGTCACGTTCTGTAGCCAAGCAAAGACTGAGGAACAGTAGTCCAGTCGCTTCTGTCACACTTACCTAGCAGCCGCCGAGTATTTAACAGCACCCTTGGAACTGCAAATCTAGGCAGTGATAGATCAAATCTGCTACTTTAATCATGTGCCACCTGCTTCCCCAGCACACCATTCTCGTGCACCTGCATGACTCTTGCCTCACTGAAATGTGGGCGTCACCAGTGGTAATGCACATAGTCTTCAATAAGGTCACTCAGAATAAGATATATGAGAGTGTGTGTGTACGTATATATAAATACATAAAAAGATTACATAGTACAGCATAGCAAACTAGAAGTAGGCAAGATAGTTAAAAAAAAGTTTCATGATCTTTTTCAGATTCTGCACCTTGGCTGCAACTGGATATAATCCTCACAGCCTTGTATAAACCATCTACAAACCATTTCTTAAACTGATTCCACAATGCTATCTTGCTATTCCCAAACCAAACTTCACCGGCATCTTCAGGAACCACATTCACACAGTCATATTCCAGAAATTATTGTGCAAGTCACAACTGGGTGAGAAAAGTAGTTACTGATGATTTAAAAGATCTTGTACCTGATGTTCTCAAACTCCTTTTCAAAGACTAGAATTTTGCAAATCAAAATGAAACAGCATTCGTCATCGTGTAATTTTGGTGCAGCTGATATCCTGACACTAAACAACTAAAAACCTCCTCTCTCTCCACCATATGCAGAAATACAAAAAATATACAACTGCAAACTGGTCAATTAATATAAATATAAAAAAATACCCTCTCCACAAAGCAGGTCGTTTGCTATGAACACGGGTTTGTACGATTATCCCGCAACATGGAGCTTCTTCCCTACAGCATATTTGCTCCAGACTCCTTGTACACTTTTGCTGGCAAAGCAATAGTTCTGCAGTTACGATTTCCTCCAGTGGCCATGGTACAAGTGACCCCTTATCATAAACCCTGTGATCTTTCTATTGGAACTCTCTGCCCTTCTGCTTTCTACTTTCACCTCTAAAGCTGATGAGTTCCCAAGATGCTATGAATAGGGGGGAGTCACGATACACCTTAATCTGACAAAATCTTATTCTGCAGATTATCATCAGATATTGCTAACTCATGGGATTACGTGATGCATACCCAGATGAGCCAAGGGCCACTTCACAGCAAAGAGTCTGAATTAGGGCAGAAGTAAAACAGCTCAGCTGTCACGCTGTACTGAAATGGCCAAGGGCTGCTAGCATTTCTTTTGCCTTATGTATAACAAGTCTGCCAGTTTAGGAGTGTGCTGCCTGGCAAGAAGTTGCATTGTTGGCTGATGCATCTAATCTTGCCGCAGGAACTGTATTTCTCATCTCCTATTTCCATTAAAGAGTTTCTCCTGAAAAAAGCGTCCTTTATACAGTCCTCAAGAAAGAAGCCATTTGTAAGCACCACTCGACCTTAGAAATAGTCTTTGGATCTCTGTTTTTTGAAATGGGACATTTTTGTTCTAATACAGCATTTCAAACATAATTTGATTAAATAAATCCTTTAAAATATTAATCCTTGCCCAGCTCTTTGAAAAGCTATTTGAAATGTTCTGTCACTGCCAGAAAAGCACTTCCACTCCTTCTATAATCTGAAGAATACAGAAATTTCATACCTTTTAAAAAACTGTAGTAGGTGTTATAGAGGGTCCTCATGGCCAGTTCTTGCAAAGGCAGCACATGATCTGTTTCTGTCCCTATAGATTTCACCTCTGCTGGCAGGAACACAGTTAACTGGCCCGATGAAAACGAGAGAAGTTTCACCTCTGAAACTTGAATCGGAGAACCACAACTAGGACGACACAAGACATTTAGAAAGTGGTTAGAAAAAACAAAACAGACGAACAGAAGTAACTTTATGGAGAAACCCAAATGACTAAACCAAAGCACGCCTGATACTGTTCTTCATTTCAGCACCCTTCAAGAATTCCTTGCAGAGTACAATACATGTTGGGGTTGGACTAGGTGACCTTTAGAAGTCCCTTCCAAGCCAAACTATTCTATGATTTTACGTTGACACACGTTTTCTATAGATTCCCATCTTCTGTGACACGCTAGTCATCATCAAAAACTGAAGGAGTGACAACACAATCCCAAGGAGTGCCCTACATGTCCCTTACTTTGCCAGCATGCTAATCTCCCTTAGCCTGTGAATGCCATTATTACTAAACATTTTACATAGGGGAGCAGTTTCATACCTAAAAGTTGGCTTCCTGTGTCTTGGATCAACCAGTTGAGAATGGTAACGGATTTCTCAACTATAATACGTGAGGCAAACTACACCCACCGAAAATATCATTTAAGTGCCAACGGGTGACTCTCTACTCTGTCTTTCCCCATCCACAGAGTTGCCTTGGAGGGTGTATGGGGGTGGATGAAAGAAAATAAAAAGAGCAGCCTAAGCTGTAGTGGGAAGACAACCAGTAAGTCTATTAGCCTTGTCCTTCCCAAATCATATAAGGAAAAGGAAGGTTATTTGGATCCAAGGAGAGAAACTTAGCTTGGTAAAAATAATAACTCTTTACATGATCCCTGTTGCAAGCTATCATACCAAAGAGACACGCATAGGAAAATTCTACTAAGAGGTTTGGGGAAGTCAACAGGGGAATCGGAATTGTTTATGACAACTTAAATTTGAAGCCAAGAGCAACTTGTTAGGGCCAGTCCTAACAAATGGAACAGAAACACAAATTTGTCAGCCTTTCCAGATCTTGGACCTAAAACTGAGGTAACTACACTCGGCGTTATCAGATGTGAAAGAAATCTCATAGTACTTCTCTGATAACAAAGAAACTCATCTCTTCTGATTAAAGGGAAAGCAGCCCAGAGAAACAAGCAAAAAAGCGCAGCAAACTGCAAGTCAATAAAGCCTCTTGTTAAATATTTAATACTTTCCCACAAACCATTAATGGCGTTAAAATATAATCGGGAATTCAGAGATCCAATATTCCAACAATCCGTTCCCCAGCAATCCATACCCGGTGAGTTAGCCAGCACAACAAATAAACCTATAATGTGGTATTTTCAAGCTGATTAACCCCTTGCCAACCTGGCTAGAAGACTCACCCATAAGCTCTACAGTTTCTGCAGTTCGGAGCTGGACCATTTGGTCTACTCTATGTAAAGTTTGAGGCTGTTAAAGCCAGACCACAATGCCGAAAAAACCAAAGAAAACAACCAAAACAGACTATCAAGAGGACTGCTCTAAGAGATACACACTCTTAAATCAGGATGGTTTAGAGAATGAATCGCAACGTATGAGTAATACTGGGTGTAAGAACAAAGAATTTAAAAAAACCCCAAACACACAAAATCCATGGAGGTTAAAAAGTGGTATAGAGCATGGTCTAACTAGCTGGGGAAAAAAGCTGCAGAAGAACCCTGGTGAATAAATAACTGGGGGAAAAAAAGCTGTGACCATCTATTGGCTGCCTTCAACAAGACTAACAGATACCTAGGGCTGGAGATGAAATCCAATCTGAAGGGAAAAAAAAAAAAAAATAAAAAAATTATTTTGAGTGCTGAGATCATCACCTCTTACATAAAAGACTTTATCAGTCAGTCTGACTGCAGGATTCCCAGACAGAGATTCCATTACTTACACAATGCAATTTATATTCTATTTTCAGAAATCTAGCTTTATGTTAGTAACAGCAGCATGTCAGATTCTATTCTCCAGTGGATGACCAGACAGCACTAAAGCCTGGATCTTCAACTCTCGCCTGACCCATGAAAACCTTGCATTGGTTACTAATGCTTTCTTGGAAAGAACACAGAAATTCTTCACATGACCATTATTACATGATTTTAACATCACTCAGCATATTATCAAATAAAACATCTGGTTTCTTAATAATGTATGTAAGAGCCCTTCCTATGTTGAACATTTTCCTTAAAAATAATTCATGAAGTTTGAAGGTGGTTTCAGACAGACAGATACCCCTTTGGCACACAAAGATTATTTTGCTTACTAAAAATAATTTCTTTTTATTCTTTATTATTAAGGATTTTTTTTATTTCACAGAAGCATTACAAGAAATAATTTCATTGCAACACTTGCAACTTTTTTGGTCTGTTCTGTACTAGATTTGTAATACTCTCCAATGTGATGACAGCAAAAAGAACCAGTAACACCCTCACAAAAGGTCAGTCCAAAGATAAAATTATTTTGACTGAGTATAAAATAAGGACTTAAAACATTAAAAAATAAAGACATGGTTGTTTAAAATCGCCTGAAATAGGCAGGACAGTTGGACCAAACTTGCTGGAACATTTCCTGCATTTTCACTAGTGGTTTTGGTCACAATCAAATACAGTTCTATTACCTTTAGTGTCAATTTAATGTCTGTCTTACAATTTACAAACAGTTCTGAAAGAACAAAGTTTAGATACAATTCTTCCTAAAAAACAGAATTAGTAGAAGCTTGAGACTGCACACAGTGCAGCAGAATTATAATCCAACTGCAAGTATTTAAATATCACACAACCAGCTGACATGGGAATATTAGAAAAACCTTAAAATGCCAAGACTCAGCATCTTGCATATTGCAGTAGAGTGCAGGCTGTAGAGAGGGAATTTATATTTAATGCAAGATATGCTGAGAGTGAGCACACCAGAAATTTATAATTAGATGGTAATGGGGACAATCCTCTTCTGATCAGTTTTACACCAGTAAGGCTCCATTCATCAGTGGCGCTGATCCTAATTTATGCTAGTGTCAGTGCAGAAAGAATTAAGCTAGTGTCCTAGACAGAACACTTTTTTCTCACATCCTAACCACACACATGAGACAGCCTAGGATATTTTTAAAATCCACATGTAAAAATATACCTCTCAATCCGTAATTCCTAAAAAAAAGTTACTTATTTTAGTTAGTAGGTACCAAGACCTACAAGAAGCTGATACTGCGATGTAAGACGAGTGAAGGAGCTGCACGTGATGTTCCAAGATACGGCCCATAACTTACAGAAATGTGAGAATTTATGAACTAGATAGATACTGCAATACATTAAAAAGTATTTTGTTTGTTCTTTAGTTCTGGAAATTCTGTGAAGCCTACATTTTTGGCCAACCTTTAAATGCAAACAGGATTCAGCTTTAGGCCTTACATTATCATTATAAAATCCTTCAGAATAACTGCACTGTCTGTTACAGCTTAATACTAAAATACTGAAAGTCAGCAATTAATACAGAAGTTTTATTACAAAAGTAAAACAGAACTGGGAGCTGCAGCCCCTCAAAGTAACATCAGTTCTGAATCAATCACACAAAAAATAATCAGTTGTATCACACAGGAAGATATTTATGAGAAATTTTACAAGGAACACGTATGCAAGACGTGAATTAATTCATACCTACCCACTGCAACCAATGACTTTATTATACAGATAAGATGGGAGGCCTTTCAGATGAATATTGTTGTCCACATAAACATATTGTAGCTCCCGAGAACGACCTAAATCTGGGTTTAGAAAACAAGGTAAGTCAGGGGGAGAAGGGATGACATCGTGACAATTGTAAGCAAAGCAATTCTCTTTAATTATAAATAAGCCAATCAGACTCAATGTAAGCAAACATAAATTAGTACTTCTCAGCTGTAAAACTTCAGCCAATAGTTTTATTATGGATGAGCTGGAAAGCTCTTTAGAAAATAGCATTTAAAATTACTAAAAGAAAACAAACCCCCTTTTCAGTAGCCCTGAAAGTTCCTTTATAAATAATTAAATTTTAACATTGACAAACTCTGAAGTCAATTTGAAGAAGCAAAGGGACAATTGATTTCAAATCTACAGTGCATACTTCAAGGTCATAAGGTCAAACCTGCTTTCATTAACTGGCCTCATGTCACTGAAATCACAGCTTCACTATCTTTGGTAAAGTGGTAAAGACATGAACAAGAATGTAGTCTGTCCCACTCTTTCTCTTCTCCAAGAAGAGATACTTGTTTGATTACATTAGCCATAACTAAGTACAACCAGTAATCATTCAGAAACAAGCCTGTGTGATGTAGTAAAATCACACCAGAAAATATACAAGCATTAAACTGCAGAATATTATACAACAAAAGTTGTGGCTACAAGTAAACAATCAATGCATCTGAAGGTGTGCTGCTTATATTATTTCTATTAAAATATTCACGGCTGGCAGTCAAAGTAAACAATTACAGCATGTTTAAGCAATAACTTCACAGACAAGAAATATATTAGGATACCTCCAGATAGGAGCACATAGGTATTGAAAAATTTTATTTTGTTTAGAAAATTAAAGTTGGGAAAATGGAGCAAAATTAAAAAGGGAATATTTAGGCTTCCAGGAAGAATTCTCGGAAACAAGAATTTTGCTTATCAGCAAGATTTAGTCAGTGGTAAAACTGTCTGCTATCAAAAGAAGTGAAAAACATGCTAATGTGAGAAATTTAAGAAGAAAAACCAAACAGTGAACTGAAAAGAATAGTCTGAAAGAGTTTTAAACTGGCAAGAAAGCTGACATACAGGATCATCTGGGCAGCCCATTTCATCTGTAGCTCCTATGCTGCTCGAGATACTGGGTTAGGAAAAGACATATGTGTTTAATACAACACACAACCCAAGCGAACAAAGTTTGAGAGACTCTCTGCCTGGGAGGGGATAGCTGCAACCCAGATGAATTGCATGATGAAAAAATTAAAAAAAAAAAAAATCTGTATGCCTCTCAACTTCTCAAACTTTTCTAAGTATGTTATAGAAACTGAGCAAGATAAAGAAGCATTTGGCTGAATCAGCCACATTGCAAGACGATACTAATATCGACTAATTCTGACTTCCCATCTTTATCAACTGTCAATTACCTTGGGTGGCATTAAGATAAGGATAACCAGAGAAATTAGCATAGCTTCTGTCCCTTCTCTAATCGCGGCCAAGAACAGAATAAAAATGAAAACAATTTCCATGATATTTCTATCCAGAAATTCTATTTGGAATAACGATTTCTTCTCATTCCCTACTACAATAGGTAATACAATCCCTTCTTTGTTATTGAATAGTTTTATTGTACAGAAGAGCTCTGGACACCACTTAGCGCACAAAAATCAAACGATATTTTGAGTGATCCTCCCCGAAAAGTTTGGTCATCTTAAAATATACTGAATATCTTCAGCTGTCACCCACTTCAATGGCAGCTGTAAGCACCAGAAACCTGAAAAGCTCACACTGAGGAGGAGCTTCAGAGGGTGTCACGTTATCAAATAGTTGATATAAAGGACAAGTGATGGTACCAATGGAAAACAAATAGATTTCTTTCCTGAAATAAAAATGCTAACATAGAAAAACTGAGTTTTCTTTTTGTTTTTTTTTTTGTTGTTTTTTTTTTTTGTTTGTTTGTTTGTGTCTTTTTTTTTTCTTTCAATACAGGCCCTTGCCCTGCAACAGTCTATGAGGTTTCAGGGACCATAATCTGGACTCTGTTCAAACCGGAGTCACTAGACATCAGCAGACACGTTCAACCATTACAGGCTTCTTTGACCCTGTCCCTAAGACCTTCTAGTTCACAGAGCTATCTGCTGCATCATCCATCAACTGCCCTGCCCCGAGAAGCAAGTACAAATACCTCTGCTGACTGATGGGCACTGCTGTGAGATGCTGCTGTGCATCGTTATGAGCTAATACCTCAAAAAGACGATTTATTTTGGCTCAGTATTATAGGGCTGAAAATAGTTTAGTAAAGTTCTGGGATATTTTTAGATGAAACAAACCCATTGTTATCCTACAATGAATAATAATATTGCGATACTGAGGCACTATAACACCATAAAATATTGTAAGGCTGGAAAAGAATCGGCCAATAAAATTTGAAGCAGATAGCATGTGCATGGCACACCTAACGCTGCGAGAATAACGCCTCATGTTGCAGAAGCCAATTATACTAAGAAGAGCAGAAAAGTATGGGTTGCTGGGATAGCTTGAATGTGCTACTCTTTAACTTATTAATTTAGAGAATGGAAGAAAATTTTTAAAAGAGGCTCATCTCGCTCATTTCTACACAGATGTATGCAAATGGGCTGAAAATCAGGCAAGTCAAAAAAAGCCCTAAAGCTGTTCTTTTCATATGCATTGAGGGGGTAGTTAGGCTGCATCTCATCTCTTCCCTCTGTCTTTATCTTATGCTATGTTTAGATTCTAAGTTCTGAGTTGACTGCATTTCCTAGGTAATTAAAGCAAATTTTTGGATGTTAGACAAAATATCTCAGTAGGAAAAATTCAATTCCCAAAGCCAAATAGCCTGTAACTATAAATGTTCCTTTGATATAGTTTCTTTGCATTAAATAACCCAGCATCTTCTAGACTCCAAAAGATTTTTTTTCCAGTTTCAAACACTATCCACAAAGTTTAAATTTAAATAAATCATCACTTTAGAAAGCTCTTTGTATCCCATCCACATTAATTTTTATGTCTTATATCAGTCAACAAATACTGTTAAAAGTTCTCTAAAAAACATGCTTCTGAAGAACTTTATAAAATAAGGAAGCTGTCCATCTATGAAAAGGCTAAAGCTACAAAGAAGGTTTTCATGTGGCTTTTGCAAGCACCGTACTGTGTCTAAAACATTTCCACTTTCCTCCTTCCAGGCTCCCAGATCAAAGACCTTTCTCCCAGAAATGACCAAATGCCATGAGTCCGGAACAAACCCCAATTCTATTTTTTTTTTCTTTTTTCTCCTTTTTTTTTTTTTTTTTTTTTTTTTAACCTCAGGGCCCTGGCATATGCATTCCACATGGCTGAAGATGGAACAAAAGCTCTTGTGTGTCTGCACTGATGCTCTTTTAACCATACTGTGAGGGCAAGCACACAAAAGCAGCATATACTGAGGTAGAATAAGACCTTTGTTTACTGTGCGCTGATAATTACTAGACCCATTTTTCTAAACAAAAAGTGCACATAAGCCCTCAATGAAGTGATACAACACTGAATATTTGCTGTCATAACATCCCCTGTACTGCCAGTACACTTGAGAATTTATGGCCTATTTTAATACTATGTACTGTATTACATAAATCATTTTTATTTTTGCAATGTCATCGGATTCAAATTTCTGCTTGCAATGGAATTTGTTTTCAGGCATTGGAGCACTTGCTAATGGCAAAATCTTAAATTTAAATTTCTGCAAAAGGGTAATTTATATTGTAAGTAGACTAATACAAAATGATCAGTAGTTCCATCTGCCATTCAAGAACAGAATTCCTAAGACCATTTACTAGGGCAGCATGAAAGCCACCCTGACAAAAACAGACTGTCCAGGATGCAGTTTCCAGTTCAACTTACACACACAATTTGTTTTGTTTTGCTTTTTAAAATAAATTTATTAGGAAGGCCCAAAGGGTCATATCCACACAGTCTTGTTTCTCTGAATATAAACTGGAATATTCAACAGCTCAAAAGTAATGATTTTTTAAAAATACTGGCATATCCAAGAATTAAGTGTATTCTCCAGAGCAAATTAGTAATTTAGTATTGTTTACCCATCTGTTTGTTTATGCACCAGTTCTGTAAGTCAGAGAGTGGGATCAGGTACTTTTATTGTATTTTGTAAATTGATTAATAGTGTTACACTTTTTGTCTTAAGACACATGTGCTCGCAAAGTTAAAAGAACCTTACAGGACAAAAACCTACATGGTACCTATTCAGCAGTGCTGTGAAAGTACTGTGCTACTGCTGGAATAAATCTTACACCTGTCAATCTAGGAGTAGGAAAATGCAGATTTCCATTACACTTAACAAGAGGCTCTACTGGCAGCTACAAGGGACATACTTTGAGGACGAATGGATTCCTTGGCATAGTAGATGCCAACCACCATATGAAATAAAGAAAGTAAATCACACTTTAAAAAGCATTAAGCAATATGTTCCAAACAGATTTCTTCTCACATGGACATGTCTAATAAATAAAAAAAAAAAAAAGAGAGAGAGAGAAAAAAAAACCCCAACACTCTGTCAGGAGATGACTAAAATGTCTGCTTTTCAACTCAACTCCCTAATTGAAAAAAATTGTTTAACAATTCTTGCTTGAATATCACTTGTATTTTGTCAGTATCTTTCACCGTTATTTAACCTCCTTACTCAGTCATTAACTACTAAAGTGAAGCTGGATGTTAAGACGACACACACAAAAAAATCATTAGCCAACATGTGCAGTTAGCAGAAATAATGCCACAATTATGCCTTAACTTCAGTAATATTCCAAGAAAAATATTTTCCCATTCAACTGAAGATAGATTTAATCTTTTTGCTTTTCAATGCACTAACTCTCTCTTCTACTTTATTTCATCACATCTTGACCACTCTGAAGCCTTCTGATTCTTCAGAGGAAGGATTAAACATTTACATTTATACTGTGCTGCTTTTCCTCTGAACTCTAGGATTTATGATTCAGTTTCATATCCACAGATAGAAAATTATCTCCAAATGTTCACCAGTGAGTCACTATTAAGAACTACCGAACAAGGTCAATTGACAGTCTTTGATGTTTCCCGTTATTTTAAAAGTTCCTTTTGAATGTTTTGAATTTAGGTCTAAAAATAAAGAAAAAAGAAGGTGTGTCATTATATTAGAGATTTATTTCCTCCTTTTGAACTTAAAACACTTCAGCAGATCTATGGCTCATCCAGGTCATAGCTCACTCACAGATAAGCTACTAGTGCAAAACTAGCAAAAACTTTTACCCTGTAATATTTCACATCTCATCTTACTGAGCAGCAGCTTATTTTTGCAAAATTAAAAAGATTCAACTTCCTGTCTCATGAAATGGAGTTAGAAATATTTCCCAAAATAGGGGAAGTTACTTTGCTTGTTTTACTTAGTACTGTGGAATCTGGATGATGCATCCTGGAACTCGTTTTCTCATTTATATAGTGACATATGTTGGGACATAACTAAAACACTATGTCTGGAGACATTATTTGCACTTACTTTCCAGTAACTACGGTGTTAAGAAAAATCAGAAGGATCATAAACTTCTTTAAAGGACTAAATTGCTAGTACTGAAAAAAATTAAGTTAAACCTATACAATGTAATTAATTTAGAAATTAGCTATTATTATCTAATTTAGCCACCTCAATTTTCAGCTTTTCAATGTGATAACTTCATCTACACCTAATTAACACCAAACTCCGTATTCTAGAAAAACTATTAATGGCTATTCCAATGACATGACAGATCCGCATGTGTGTGTCTATTTCAGCAGAGATTGACTTACGGCAGGGCTAGAAGGTAACAAACGCAGGGGAAGAGGACTTGCCTCTCCCAGAATATACAGCCCACTCTTACTGACAACACAACTACTTCCCACAACAAACCACCACACGCTGCACCTCCTACTCTTGAAGACCCGCTTCGATACTTCCAAACTTTGAAAGGGTTGAGAAAGAGATGGAGAAATTCTTTCCTGGGCTACTACTGTGGAAGTTTTGATGGATGCCTATACCCAGCACAAACTAGACCTTCACTAGGTTATGCAGTAGTGACATTCCTAATGATGAAAAATGATTTATGTGGCGTTACTGGGATTCCACAGCAAGGTTTAAACCCTAGCTGAAGAATCTTACTTAAAGCAAACAGAAACGGATCCTTACCCAAAGTGGTGCAACTCTGATTACATAGTACTATATTTAAACACAGCATCATTTAAACATTTTTCCCCCCTCAGCTAAAAATAAAGCAAATTTGATATCTGACCTATTACTTTAAAACAGACATGAAACCTTAACCTGCTTTTGTTTATTAAGATTATTTTCCAACAATATGATCTCTGTGACAACTCCATAACCAGAGTTTGCAGGGACCACCAAACTTTTTTTCTTTTTGGGGTGGAAAGGTTGTTTTCCTGTCTCTTCTCTAACCCACCCCCCAGCCCAATGACAGTGGTGACTCACCAAGTGGCAAAAATGCAAGGCGGTTTCCAGCCATGGAGAGCTCATTGAGGCTTGGTAGTTGGCACAGGTGGCGGGGAACATACCACAGGTGGTTTCGGTCTGCAGTCAAGTACTGCAGCGAAAGGCACATATGCAGCCTTTCGGGTAACGTTATCAAACGATTGGTTGAAATGTCCAGCGTTTGCAGCTCCCTCAGGTCTCCAACCTCTACAATCCAAACAGGAGGCATTGAGAATTATTAATGTAACTATTTTCACAAACAAGACCACAAAAAACCCCCTCACATTAATCAAAAGTCGCTAGTTAGCCGTGCTGGTTTCTCTTAAGATACTATCAATCTGTGTTCAGGACTGATACTAATAATGTCCATCATCTTTGTATTTCACATCTTTTTGATGAGGAACAGTTATCAGTTAGGCAGTATGTTTAAACATGAGATCTCTCAAGATAGAGCATTCCTGAATTGTGACAATTACTACTGTCAAAAATATCAAGCAGTTTCCTGGTCCTAAATCAGAACTAGGAAAAAAAAAAAAACAAAACCCAAACCGAAACACATCACACAGCTTGCTGTTATTGAGGGTGCTTTGCATGATCCCAAACTCATGCAAATTCAAATTAACTATTTATTATTTTTTAAACATTTGAGGATACAATGCTTATATCCACCTTATTTAAGATTCTCTTGCAGGGAGACTTAAAAATACATGCATAGCACTTCTTGCTCAGTGACAGTCTTTCACTAAGCATGCTTTAGGAGCAACAGCTCTGTCTTCATAATAAAACTCAAAAGACCTAGTTTAAATTAGAAAAGGCATTTCTTAATAACCTGTAAGTTATATTGTTATGTTATATTCTAGGAAGATATTACAGTAAGTTCTACCCTATAGCTGCAGTAATTACAGCTTCTAGAGATTCTCTTTTTTAACATTTTAAGAATTTTAAAAGTACATTTTGTGTTTTAAATAGTATTGCATATTTGTTTAATGTAGGTAAAAATGAAGTTCTTAAAAGCCTGCAAGACATGATCACACACGTAGCCTCACTTGTGCAACAGAGTGATTTTTTCCCTGTCTCTGGCCTGTGGGACCAGGATGCACTTCTCTAAGGACTGACTGACAAATACATCAAGCAGCTCTGCAGGTTTTCTAATTGTTTATTTAATTATTCTTTTACAGTTACTCTAAAAATTGGATAATTCTATAAATTATTTTCCCGAAACATGGGGAAACTGTAAACAGTTTTGCTTTGTTTTTAAATACTTCTCAGCAATGGTACTGACTCATGAAGTGCTTGGTTCCCTTAATTCTTACTGCAGTTCTCAGCATCCTGCAGAACCAAATGTACTTTGGTCTCAGCTGAAGGAAACCAGCTCTTGCATCTGAGAGCTGCTAAAACAAGATTCACTAGAATTTTCTACACTGAAAACACCAGACAATCTACACAATCCACAGGCTGCACAATCTACAGCTCTACCCAGATTTTTTTCAAAAAGATATAAATAGGGTAACACTGTTTAAGTTAAAGCTAAACAGAACCTGTTGTGCCCTTAAGCGCTCTCTGTAGCAGGAGCTAGAAAATTTGCTATTCCCCGAGCTCTGAGGTAGCACCTTGTATACTACACCCAAAGAAGAAAACACAACACTAGGTTAACTTCAAGCTGTCTTCTACACAATGGGAAAAAGAAATGGCAAATCTGAAGTTGACCTTGGGAAAAACTCTGAAATGTTACTTTCAAGCCTGAAAACATGAAAAGGGAAAAAAAGGGAAGTTACAATTCAGTAGGAGAGATTTTCACAGAAGTACTAATTAAACAAAATGTGTATGCACATTTGAAAGGAGTTTCTGCCCACCGCAAACAATTCCAGCATTAACTACAACAAAGAATCAACAACATAGTATATGCATCCTTTTATAAAATATTACCCACAGAAACAGTTGCTATACAGAGATGACCAAATTCTTCAAACTTCTTAGTTTTGATGTCAACAGGAATCCTAAGCTTTATTTTAAAAGTTGGGGTCTTTTACTACAGCATTGAAAGTGAACGGCAAAAGCAAAATAATCACTACTAAATAGCAAAAGACTACGGTGCGAAATAACTGCAGTAGAACTCATTTTTAAAGAGCTTTATGTTCATCACAAACAAAGCCATATGCTTGAAAACAGTGACAGGAAAAGAGCCACCTACGTTCAGCCAAACCACTGACCACATGCAGTCAATAATAGGCCTAGCTATTTTCATGCACTAACCTTTTTCTCTGCCACTAAAAACAGTTTTCTAATTCAGTTTAGGTCCAAAATCCCATAAATGTTACGGTTGGCAAAGCTGGCAGAGTTTCAAAGGCATTGCTAGAATGATATGTTTCAAATCTAAGAGGAAATAAAAGTATTCTCACTTTATCCTTCATCCAAAAAACACATACTTGCCCAAAACTTTATCCTCTCTACCTTAATCTTCCAATGCATACCAGATGTAAACATCCACTTTCAACATACAGTGCCATATGTTATGGAAACACCCACCGACCCATGATGAAGTTAAAAAGTAAACCAAACAACTTAAAAGTGCCATCAGATTAAAGATCTAACCCCCAGAATCCCCACCATAGTGTTGAAAATTCATTTTGAAGAACATGCTCAGACATTTACTAATGACACTAAATTGGTTTCAATCTCATTAAGGCAAAGGAAAACAATAAAGGGGAATAACAAAAAATATAAACAGTCCATTAATAAGTCTTTCAAGCTTTTAGTTACTAAATACTATTATCCATGCTTTAAAATTATTGCAATATAAACACTGAAGGATGCCTTGCCTAACACAGTGAAAGACTTAGAAATCTCTCTCTGCTATCACCCCATCAAGTACTAAGACATATATGAGAGGTGGACTTCGGAAATTTCTGGCAGACCCAGAAAAGAGGATAACTATTCCCAAACAAAAAGAACTGACAAAGAAGGGACTTTTATTCAGAGATTTCCCACCCCCTGCACCCAAGGATAAGAAAGAGACAAGCATTATACATCACCATTAAACCACACTGAGGAGTTCCAATTACATTTAAATGAAATTCATAACCGTATAATTTAAAATTTATATTAGCTCTAGGATTAACGCAATCAAAATCAACATGGCAGAGCACTGAACCCCATTTTGATATCAGAAGCCCCCCCCTCCCCAAATCCTCAGTAGCTTTGCTAAACCTCTAACTCAAAAAGACCCAAGTCCAAACGTGAAGTTTCCGTGTGGGTTCTTGGACACGAGCATTTCAGCCATGTCCACCTGCACAGATTTCTGCCTTCACATATAGCTGGGCAATTCTGTGACTTGGCCATATGGTACAAATGTGTTCCGTAGCACACACGAAGTGGCTGACAGACTGTAAATCCACACACTACCTTACCTCACAGAAACTTAAACTTGGACTTATACCCAGAGTCCTGCCTACAGCCTTCTGAACGTGGTTTCAGTGACGCAGACGTACACATAAATATTTCAGACTGTATTCCAAAACTCCCAGCACTTGAGTAATTAATCTTTTTCATCCTTGGTAATACTGTGCCTCCAAAAAGCAGCCTTTGCATTCCTAGTAATAGCTTTCCAACCACTTGGAGAAAGGGACAAGTGAACTGTCATTGTATGTGTGTGGGTTTTCAAAAGAAAAAACTGTCAAATAGGTTTCTCTCTCAACACAAAGAGAAAAGAAACATGAGCATACTTTTTTCTAAAAAAGTGAAACCGTGAAAGAATTTCAGGAAATTTCCAAAATTATTGACCATCTAACAAAACTCACTGTATTTGTATAAACATACCTAGCACCAGGAAAAAAAGAAAAAAAATAACTATTTCTGATTCAGGTTGTTTAAACACCAGTTTTTAAAATGAATTCCCATGGTTTTACATGAAGGAAAAAACCCCATCTGGAATCAAGCAGGCTATACAACATACAATAATTGCCAAAGGCAATTCAAACTTCCTTAACCTTCTGGGGGTACAGGCCTCACCAGCTGCATAACTCAAAAATAACTAGCAGTTTTCTTTACGTTTCAAGAGCAATCCCACCTTTCCCTGCTGGGCCACAACCCAAAATTTCTCCTAAAGATATATGAAACACATACACAATTAGATTTGACTGTTTGGAAAGCATGGAATTACTTTAAATCAAATGCTATCTGCGTCTTTCCATCCAAGTAAAGGAAAAAAGGGGACAGGAATGGACTACAAACCTACCTGCATGAGAATGCACCTCAAAGCAGGATATTAAGAGAAAGCAGAGAACCTACAAAGAATGGAAAAAGGGACTGATCAGCAAAGAGAGCTGGTACTTAGAGGTCAGGCTGCAGAAGTTAAATGAAAACTGCCAGGAGGCCAGGAAAATGGGAACTCACAGACAAACAAAAGGTTTCTCAACAAGAAATAAAGAGCAAGAAATGAAGAATTGGTGTCAACAAAGGGTAGAAATTAGGAGAACAGACCAAATATTAAATTAGCTTTTTGCATCATTTTTTCCTGTAAGAATAATGCTGTGTATGAGGACAGAGACAGAATACCTCATGGGAACAAGGACAAAGCACTGAAAATTACCACAACCATTACTCAAATGAAATGAGGCTGCTTAAAAAGTTTCCATCCCAGAATACTGAAAAAATGGGTTATACATCAAAATTGCAAGCTCAGGCACGAGGATTCTCAATGAACAGGACATTTTCTGGGATACCAGACCAGAGTTGGAGAAGAAATGCAGAACCTGTGTTCAAAAAAAGCCCTGTTAACGTGGTGCTCTTCAGTGTCTTTTAACAACTGTTCTAAGGGGAAAGAGCAACCAAGAGTGACCAGTGAGTGGAACATAAATAAAAATCAGAATGAAAATGCAACCCAGATCGTTCCACATGTAGATCACATTATACTGGCTTATCTTTGAGAAAGTTTCTTGGTTAATGGTAACACACGAGTATCACATCTCATGGCAGATTACTGGGATGGAGAAAACATTACTAGCGGTGGCGTTCCTCAAGGCGTCTACTTTGTTTAGAATTTCCATTTTCTACCTTGGTAAAAAAAAAAATCCAAGGTTTTGGTTTGCTGTCGACACAAGCATTTAAAATACTGCTCATATGACAGAGAACCAGATTATTGTATAGGAAGAAGAGCAAGAACTTTTAGACTTAAATTACTGAAATGAAATTAAAAAGAACAGAAAGTA